CAGTTTGGAGAAGGTGATGAGGATTTGGCGTCGAAATGAACAAGATGAAGAATTCAAATGTAGTCAAACTGATATAGTGCCTTATATGAAAAGTAGCCCAATATTGAAGCAAGCTGCAAAATTTTATTCAAGGAAGTTGTATGCATTTTTTGAAGAGGAGTTCTTACATGGACTTGGTGGATTATGCGTTGAAAATACCTCATCGGATTTATCAAGGTTTTCTGTTTGGAACATAGACAACTCCAATGATTCACACAATTGGATTGTCAATTTTAATTCATTAGAAGGTACCATTGAATGCAGCTGTGCTAAGTTTGAAATGATGGGTATATTATGTGCACATTGCATGAGAGTAATGAGACAGTTAGATATTATTAATATTCCCAATAAATATTTACTCCCAAGATGGTCAGTCAATGCTCGAAAAGATTTATATTCTTGAGGTAAGATCCCAAGTCTTGGTATGAATGCTTGCCAACTTATTTCGGGGTCTAGCAACTTGATTTTCAGAAATTATGTTTGCCGATTTGCATATAAAATTAGCACAGAAGCACAAGGTAATGAGGAGGCTGAAAAGTGTGTCATAGATGATTTGAGTATTTTGGCTGCAAAAGTTCATTCCATCAAACTTGGTAGAAAGAACAAACCAAATCCTGGACCTGGTAATGAAACTATTAAAGATCCTAAGAAGTGCCGGCCAAAGGGCGTTTCAAATGCAAGATTGAAGGATCACTGGGAGAAAAGGAAGACCAAGAAAGTTAAACCGACAGAGAAGATTGCACCAACAAGCATACACTTCACAAATTCAGAATCAGGTAGTCAATCTTATTTCATGTAATCTGTTAATTGCGAGGAGTTTCTATAATAAATATGTCTTTCTGATTGTATATATGTCAAGCAAATTTCGTCGAATACCGAGCAAATTTCGTCGAATACCGAGCAAATTTCGGCGAATACCGAGCAATCCCAATCTGTTATCATATTGCTCGGTATTGCTTAATGATTAGTAGCCATAGCTCGGTATTACTCCTTCTTAGTCCTCGGTACCATTTAGTTGTTGTCTACCAAGGTAATTTAGCTAAAACCGAGCAATACCAATCTGTTTTTGGTTTGTACCGAGCATATTTCGTCGAATACCGAGCAAATTTCGACGAATACCGAGCAATCCCTATCTGTTATCATATTGCTCGATATTGCTTAATGATTAGTAGCCATAGCACAAGAAATATACTTGAAAAAAAGAAATTTTATTTCAAAATCTATTGAATTTTTGTACATAAGATGGCATATGCTAATTCAGTCTTGAATAGTGGCATATTAGATTGCCAGTTCTTATAAAGGTACCATTGAACAGGTTCTTGTTGTATTACAACTTTCATATATTTACAAATAAACATGCCACAATCAACGTTGTTATCTTGTGTTGGCACGTTTCTAAATCCCTTGATTGGCCATTTCGTTATGTTAATGTCAAAAGCGGTCTTCGTTTCCTTGTAGAAATGAGAAATCTGAAAAAGTAAAATGAAATTAAGATAATTTTTTGTTAAGAAATAAAAAAACTAAATAAATTTTTCTTTTACTTACAACTTCTGGGAGTATGGCTTTATGTGTCTTTTTCGGTAATGAATCATAAAACTCCCATCATTTTTTTCTCAAATTTCATACTAGAAGGGTCCAATGTTTACCGCTTATTATTGGAACAAAGATCAAATTTACATTCCTTATAACTGTTCTATTTATATGAGATACGAACTTCGTTGTATCTTCATTCTCAATTCCATAATCCATCGCTTGTTTGTAGTATCCCTGGTTAAGAAGAGAGAACAGTGGTGATTAATTCCAACTTCTTTACATGTACTAAATAGAAATACCAAACTCAAGGATTAAAAATTGATTACTAACCCAATGAAAACAAGAAACAAAAAGAAAAGATTGATTAAGACCGGGGCAAAGTGCATTTTTATCTACTAATAAATGACCAAACACATCAACGTGATTATTGTCAAGTTCCTCTGACAATAATAATTCGTCCAATTGACTTCGATAAATTGTTATATATCCAAGCTCGAAAATAGCGTCGTTCCTGTATAATTAAAGAAAAGATTATTGAAAAAAATACTATTGTTAGGTATCACGAGGTACTACTCGGTACAACTCGGTATTGATATAGTACCGAGTATGTTTAATGTAATACCGAGTAGTACCATATAGTAAAGCTCGGTACTGCTCGGTA